TCTGTACTTTCTCATCTGTCTTCAACAACTGTTGTTCCATCCTTAAAACTGTTTGTAAAATTGTTTGTATCGGTAAATCTTTCTCTTTCTCTTTTTCTCTTTCTTTATCTTGTTGCAGCATTGTCTGGATGGATCGTTGTCCTCCGGATGGTGACGAAGAAAGTGTAGTTGCAGCCGATCCCACAGTCGCAATTTTCCTGCTCATTTTATTCCATAATAGGAGATTTAAAAAAAAGAAAGAAAAAGAAAAAGAGAGAAGGGAAAATTTTAAAATTTATCCAATTTTAAAAAAGGAAAAGGGAGAAGTAAAAAGAAACAAAAAAAAAGAGAGAAAAAAAGCAGATAAAATACCACCACTCTTCAGGTTCTTCTAAACCCTAATCCAATAGGTATAGAAAAGTCAACAATAATAATAAAAATAAAAATAGAAGTAAAAATAAAAATAAAAATAAATCTTCGGGCTCTTGATTGCCTTAATCCAATTTTATATAGTTTCAGGCCGAGGTGAAAAGCCACAAAAAAGGAAGGAAGATAAAAAAAAAAAAGGGTCCATCAAATATAATTGTATCCAGAAAGCATACGGAGAGTTGTCTTTTAAGCAAGCCACAACGATAGAGAGAAAAGCAAAAAATCTTCTATAGTATTTCCAGACTCTTAGTTCAGCTAAATCCAACAAGAACACCTTTGAAAACAGTACAGATAGTTCCATTTCCTCTGGTGTTCTCACACACACTTATCAGCTCAAGATTCAGAGTCTCAGTTAGTTATGTCTACAATGTTTCCTCTGGTAATTGCTTAGAAAAAAAAACAGCAACAAAGTATCTCCTCCAGCAGATGGCAGCAATACACACTCTCCTGTCTTTCCTGTGCTTTAAAATCTTTAAGATCCAAGTCTTCCTTATTAAAAGTTTACAAAGAATTTCAATAGAAGAAAAAAAAAAGAAAAAATAGAGAGGGTTCAATCACCAAAAAAAACCCAACCCCCCCCCACCAAACCAAAGTCAAACATTCATTTTAAAAAGGCAAGCTCAACCAAATGTTAATGCCTTTTTTTTCAATCCAGTCCCGGTCAGCAAAACAAAAAGGCTAATTTAAAAGTCTTCCAAATTAAGTAATAGGGTATTAAAATCAATTCCAATTTAAGGTCGCTTATTTCATCTCCATCTTAAATTCAAAGTTTCTAGTTCCTCAGGATGTTCTTTTTATCAATTAAAAAATAAGATTCTCTCACTGCTCTAGTTCGCTGTCTTTCTCCTTTCTTCTCCTGAAGCTGTCCCAGCCTTGGCAGCCGATGGCTGCAACCCCGCTGCCGGAAAAAAGGGCTTTCCTGGATCGACCAGGGACTTGGCGATGTCCCTGGGATCGACAGGAGATGCCTTCCACTACCACAGTCAAAACTAGACTGTGGGGTCCCAGAAGGACCGTCCTGCAACGGGGCTATCGGAGATTTTGGAGCTTCGAAATCTTCCGTCCGTTTCGCTCCGACTCCAATTTCCGGTCTCCCCCCTTTATTTTTCATTATTAGAGCCTACAGAATTTTTTTTTGTTCAGTATCAGAACAGATCATAGTGCAGATTATTGATGTTCTTTCCTCTAGTTTAAAATCATGCTTGTCATCTTCCAACCTACCTGTCAGGTTCCAGAACAATAATAAAGAACACAAACAAAACAAACCTGGTTTGCTGCTGTCATCTTTTATTTCTGGCACGTACTGACCATTCAGATGAAAATATTGTTAGGGCTATCTGCCCGGACTTCCCATCACCATTTATACATTTCACCCATACATCCAACCCTCATTACCCAATCCCGAATGGCCAGCCCTCCCATGTGACCCGGAAATCTTGTGGGTGCGCCTGGAATTCAGTCTATGCCTTGCCCCTCAGGGTAGGGTTGCCTGGGGACGAGGGCTCAGTTCATGCTTTAGCAATAGCCAGAGCTTGACATTGACAAAGGGTGATGTAGAGACGAAAGAGGGAGGCAGGGGGCGACTCTTATCAGTTCTATTGCTCCGCTGGTGATGTCATCACCGCGTGACTGCCTCCCAGCTGTATGGGATGACAGGAAGCCTTGTCACAGTCCATCTCGGTCTCCAGCAGATCAGTGAAACAGCATGCAGCCTCCCCTCCTCTGTGGTTGTCTCTGAGGTGTCCCCCCCACCCCCCGGAATGGCAGGTCCAGGCTGGTTGGCACGCCGGAGCTGACATGCGGCCCCTCTACCATGGAGCGTCTTTCTTATTTATTTTATTTATTATTTATTAATTTTATTTCTATACCGCCCTTCTCCCGAAGGACTCAGGGCGGTATACAGCCTAATTAAAAACACAAAGACAGATAAAATTTAAAAATAATTAAAATTATTAAATAATAGGCCCAATTTGTAAAACCCCAAATTTAAAATCCCATTTAAAACCAATTAAAATCTTTACATTGATAGCCCAGCCTGGCGGAACAACATGGTTTTGAGGGCACAGTGAAACACACGGAGATCAGAGATTTTACGAATTTCTAGGGGCAGATCATTCCAAAGGGCAGGGGCTCCCAAAGAGAAGGCCCTCCCCCTGGGTGTCGCCAGCCGACATAATTTGGCCGATGGCACCCTGAGGAGACCCTCTCTGGGAGCGAACTGGCCGGTGGGAGGCTACTGGTGGCAGAAGACGGTCTCGAAGGTATCCAGGTCCAATGCCATGGAGCGCTTTAAAGGTGGTAACCAACACCTTGAATCGCACCTGGAAGACCACTGGGAGTCAGTGCAGCTCACGCAGGAGGGCACAACGAGTTGCGCCCATAACCACCTGCGCGGCCGCATTCTGGACCAGTTGGAGCCTCCGGGTGCTTTTCAAGGGGAGCCCCATGTAGAGAGCATTGCAGTAGTTCAGTCGGGAGGTGACAAGGGCGTGAGTGACTGTGCGCAAGGCATCGCGGTCCAGAAAGGGCCGCAACTGGCGGATCAGGCGAACCTGATAAAAAGCTCCCCTGGCCACGGCCGTCATATGTTCTTCTAAAGACAGCTGCGCGTCCAGGAGGATGCCCAGATTGTAGGCCCTCTCAGTGGGGGGTAAAGACTCACCCCCAATAGTCAGCGATGGCACCAGCTGACTATATCGCGACGCCGGGAACCACAGCCACTCGGTCTTGGAGGGGTTGAGTCTGAGCCTATTTCTCCCCATCCAGACCCGCACGGCCTCCAGGCAGCGAGACATCACATCAAGGGCATCATTGGGGTGATCTTGGGTGGAGATGTACAGCTGAGTATCATCAGTGTACAGATGGACTCTCACCCCAAAACCACGGATGATCTCACCCAGCGGCTTCACATAAATGTTGAACAGGAGGGGCGAGAGGACCGACCCTTGCGGCACTCCCCATGCGAGGCGCCTCAAGGTCGACTTCTGTCCCCCTGTCAACACGAACTGCGAGCGGTCGGAGAGGAAGGAGGAGAACCATTGCAAAACAGTTCCCCCTATTCCTAACCCCCTCAACCGCTGCAGCATGATACCATGGTCGATGGTATCAAAAGCCGCTGAGAGATCTAACAGGACCAGGACAAAGGAGCAACCCCATCAACCAATGCGACCAATGCTGTTTCCGTGCTGTGCCCTGGCCTGAAGCCCGACTGGAACGTGTCTAGATAATAGGCTTCATCCAGGTACTGGGGCAGTTGTCGCGCCACCACACTCTCGACAATCTTTGCCACAAAAACGAAGGTTGGAGACCGGATGGTAGTTGGCTAATTCAGCTGGGTCCAGGGAAGGCTTCTTGAGGAGGGGCCTCACCAACGCCTCTTTCAAGGCAGTGGGAAAGGCACCCTCACTCAGAGAAGCACTTATAATCCCCTGGAGCCAGCCTCGTGTAACCTCCTGGGAGGCCAGTACCAACTAGGAGGGACACGGGTCCAATAAACATGTGGCGGCACTAATCCTACCCAGAACCCTGTCCACATCCTCGGGAGCACAGGATCAAACTCCTCCCAGATAATATTCTCAAGACCTACCCTCGTCTCCTCCCCTGGACTCATCCAGTTGGAGTCCAAGCCTTCCCGAATCTGAGCGACTTTATCATGCAGGAATTGCACAAAATCCTCAGCTTGACCCTGCAAGGGATCTTCCCGCACTCCCCCCCGAAGAAGGGAGTGGGTTACCCTAAACAAGGCAGCTGGGCGGTTCTCTGCAGATGCGATAAGAGCGGAAAAATAGTTAGATTTTGCCGCTTTTATCGCCACTAGGTAGGTCTTGATATAAGACTTCACCAGTGTCCGGTCGGAATCGGATTGACTAGTCCTCCAAATGCTCTCTAGGCGTCTTTTCCGATGCTTCATCTCTCTCAGCTCCTCAGAGAACCAAGGAGCCAATTGAGGTCGGCATCGGGTCAGAGGCCGCAAAGGCACGACGTGGTCCAAAGCCCCGGCGGCCGCCCTCTCCCAGGCGGCCCTCTCCCAGGCAGCCACCAGGTCTTCAGTCGAGTCGTGTGCCAGGGTCTCAGGAAATGGCCCAAGCTCCGTCAGGAACCTTTCGGGATCCATCAGGCGCCTGGGACGGAACCATTTAATCGGTTCCGTCTCCCTGCGGTGGGGGGAAACGGCAGGAAAGTCCAAGCGAAGAAGAGAATGATCTGTCCATGACAAGGGTTTAATGTCTAAATCCCCTCTACCAAGATCATTCAACCACTGACCAGAGACGAAAATCAAGTCCAGAGTGTGTCCCCCTTTGTGAGTGGGGCCCTGAACTAATTGGGTCAGGTCCATGGCCGCCATGGAAGCCATGAACTCCCGAGCCACCTCTGACGCCTCACCTGCAGATGGCAGGTTGAAATCCCCCATGACAATAAGTCTGGGGGTATCAACCGCCACCCCGGCAATAACGTCGAGCAGCTCAGGCAGGGTCGCCGCCACGTGGCAGGGAGCCAGGTACGTAGTCAGCAAACCCATCTGCCTCCCACGGCCCCACTTCACGAGGAGGGACTCACATCCGGCTATCTAAGGAACAGTGGTCTCCCTCGGACCACTGTTCCTCAGATAACAGTGACTATTGTCTTTCTGTAACAGAAAGACAATAGTGAGACAAAGGTTGAGTCATTGGTCCCCCCCGGTTTCTCTGGATGCTTTCTATGGAATCGAGCAACCAATTTGGGAGCAGCTACATCTTTTTCAGGGACCTACACAGCTTCAGCAAGGGAATAGCACTTCCACAATAGTAGGTATTGGAGTTTTCCCCTCTCGTATCTAGCACTTTCTCCACCTCATAATGCTGCTCACCATCAACTAGTATCAGTGGTGGGGCCATGGTTCTCATCCCCCTGAGTGTGGAGGACATGGCAGGACGTAATAGACTGCAATGGAAGACAGGGTATATCTTCCCTAATAATTTGGGTAGCTGGAATTGTACAGTCACCAGGTTGATCACCCATATTATTGGGAATGGATCAATGTATTTGGGTCCGAGTTTTTTACTTGGTTAAGGGTAGTTTCAGATATTTAGTAGATAGAAACACTCGTTGACTGATATAGAAGGGGGTTTCGGGATGACGAGTTTTATCTGCCTGGTGTTTATACCTATCAGCTGCCTGTTTTAACACGTCCATGGAGCCTTCCCACACCTGTTTTATTTGATTCACCCAATCTTTTATATTCGTATCCTCTGTGTCATATGGTGGATATTCAGGTATAGGTACGAATTCTTTTCCTTTGGTTGTTGGATGGAAAGCTGAGCTGAGCCCCTATTGGACCCCACCCTTTCTAGGAATTTCCTCCAAAACCTGGCAGTAAACTGTTCACCCCATCGGATATTATTTTCTGAGGTAGTCCGTTGTATGTATGGTCTTCCTAGCAGACCCGTGTTTTGTACTACTTGGAGCAGGTGTTACTTTGATGAGTCCACCATCCGTACACTCTGCAGCCCTGTGTCCTGGTCTCCCACACCAAAAGCCCGTTATGACGGCTCTAGCTGGTGGAATAATAGCTGTAGGAAGTATTGGCCGCAGGGATGGGCTCACCGCCGGAGTCGGACTAACTGTTCGAGGTGACTATCGCTGGTCTCTGGCCACTCCTGTCTCTGGTCTCCTCCACTCTCTTCTCTGCTGAGTTTCTCTGAATTCAATGTCCAATTCCGTTGCCGCCTGAAACCAGGCTGCTAATCTGGGTGCAATACCCCTGCAGACACAGGCCTGCCGCAATGTCTTATCCAAACCACCTTGGAAATGGTGAATTACTAATCTTTCCGGCCAACCTCGCACCTTCCCTACCAATCTCCTAAATTCCTGGATATAATCTTTTATGGGTTTTCTTCTTTTTAAAAATTTTAACAAGTCCCCTTCCACTTGTTGCACCTGAGTATTATCCTCAAACCTCCTGTAAAGCGGATAGAAAATAACCTACGTCCCCCAACTCTGGGGCATGGTCACCGTATAAGTCATCCACCCACTCTGCGCGGTCTCCCCTTCCATAACTGTCGTCACTGCCACCACTATATCCCATTGGGAAGTGTATAATCTTTCATATCTATCAAAATGATTGAGAACTTGCCCAAAGAACAACACTACTTTCTCTGGGCTTCCATCAAATGATGCTCTTATGGCAGGTGGATCCCATCTTCCCATGACCACAGGGCCCGGTCTGGTCCCCAACCCCCTCGGAATGGACGCCGTCCTGTCACCAACCATTTGGGACCTCTCTTCACTGTGTTGTTCATGGGAACCCCTGGTTGGCCTATGGTCTTCCTGGGTATCCCTTTATGAAGCCCTGGTAAGGCAACCCTAGGTACCTGGCCTCCTTAGCAGCTGAGATCCCCTGTCCGGGCCCTCCATGCCCTTATCCCCAGGCAACGAAGGTCCGGGCCTCTGCCAAACATTGCCATAACCAGGGTCCCTGAACCCAGCCATCCCATACAGTTCTTGGAGCACCTCGATGGTTTGGTTGCCAACCCCTGTTGAATAGCTCCAGTTGTCATCTTTGGAAATCCGACATTCTCTCCATTGAGTAAAATGGTCCCCCAAAGGGATTAGCACGGGTCCTGGGCCCGGACGCTTCCTTAATTCTGCAGGCCTAGCATTCCCCAACCACCAATCTCCAGAGTCACCCAGTCCAGTCTCTAGCAGTTGTAACTGGGCTTCCAATTCAGCCTGGTTGCCTGGCCGCTCCTTTGGTCGAACATCCATTTGTGCCTCTTCCACCTGGGGTGGCACCTCCAACAAAGTGGCTTCAGGGTTAGTTGGAATCCTCAAAGTCAGCTGCCTCCAACTCAGGAACCTTGCCTTCAGCCATGGGTAGTTTAAAGGGAGCCCTAACAATTCTGTCAGGTTCCAGAACAATAATAAAGGACACAAACAAAACAAACCTAGTTTGCTGCTGTCGCCTTTTATTTCTGGCACGTACTGACCATTCAAACGAACGGACTTCCCATTACCATTTATACATTTCACCCATGCATCCAACCCTTGTTACCCAATCCTGAACGGCCAGCCCTCCCATGTGATCCGGAAGTGTTGTGCTAATGTGGGTGCACCTGGAATTCAGTCTATGCCTTGCCCCTCAGGGTAGGGTTGCCTGGGGACAAGGGCTCAGTTCATGCTTTAGCAATAGCCAGAGGTTGGCATCGACAAAGGGTGATGTAGAGACGAAAGAAGGAGGCAGGGGGCGACTCTTATCAGCTTCTATTGCTCCGCTGGTGATGTCATCACCGTGTGACCGCCTCCCAGCTGTATGGGACGACAGGAAGCCTTGTTGCAGTCCATCTCAGTCTCCAGCAGGTCAGTGAAACAGCGTGCAGCCTCCACTCCTCTGTGGTTGTCTCTGAGGTCCGTCCCCCGTCCCCCACCCCCCGAATGGCAGCTCCAGGCTGGTTGGCACACCGGAGCTGACACTACTTTCTTTCATGTTATTTTCAGCAAGTATTTCAAGACAGCCTTATAACCAGACACAAAGATGGTTTCCCCCCCATGTCATCACTCTGCTGAACACTTAATTCAGCGTTGTCTCATCATCTCATCTTTCCTACTATCAACTTCTGTTGGTTTATTATGATTTATCAATTGTTGTTTGCAACTTAAAATGAATTATTGTAACTATGATTTAAGATCTATGATCTATTGCTGTTTATACGTACACTGTGAGCTTATGCACCAGAAACAAATAAAAGTATTCCATTTCATTCCATTCCATTATCCCCTCCCCTCCCAGCTCTGGCTCAACCCTAGCAAAGTGGACTGGCTTTGGGTTTTTTTTTTTGTTTCTGTACATGTCCTGATGTGTTAATTTTGATTCTTGACTCTAACCACTTCCCTGGCTAAAGCAGGTCCACACTTTGATGATTTTCCTGGATTCATGATTCTTGCTCAAGGAGCAGGTGGCAGCTATGGCTAATGTGAACCTTTTTACAGGTTCATCTTGTACACCAGTTGTATCTATTCCTTGCCTTTGTTGCTTCCCAATCAGACTACTATAAGATGATCCAAATTAGATTGCCCTTGAAGAGCACTTGAATGTAGCACTTGAATGTACCAGGTCCAGAATGTAGAGGTGTGCAGTGTTGAGTGCCTCCTTGTACTTTATGTCTGCATTGCACCACTGTTGCACATGCCATATTGGCTCTTAGTTTTTTTCTGGGTGCAATTCTACGTGCTGTTTTTTACCTTTAAAACCTAACCTTTAACTTTAAACAGTCACTAAATGAATGGCTGTATGTCAGGGACTATCCATGTTACTATTTGCTATAAATAAAAAGTTGATTGTCAGGCTCCAGATAATGCACCCATCATAAATCGTACTCCAAGGCATAAACTATTCCTCAAAGATCAAATTTATTTAGATACATCATATTGATGCTACTGGTGAAAAGCCAGTACTAAAGTTCCTGGGCTTTTCACTTCAATATAAGTTTTCAGTTTCTCAAGTTTCCAAAACATTGGTCACATTGTCCAACCAAGATGGGAGCTGGTTGGTCAGCGACATCTCTCCTCCTTCTCCTCCAGTCAGTAGATGGTGGAATGTGGCAGACTCATCATCTAGGAATGATGTTTTGACTGAAGGCTCCATCCCCTCCAGCTCCAAGCTGTGTCAAGCTGAATTCTTGCTAGGATGTCCAAAGAAACAGACAATCCCACACCCCAATCAAATTCACTGATGCTATAACTGCAATACTGCATCCTACTGCATGGAAAGATGTTGGAAGCTATTGCTTTTGGGGTTTATTCTTTTCTTTTTTCTCTTCCATATGTAAAAGGTTACATATATCCAGTGGTGGGTTGCTACTGATTCACCCTGGATTGGGCGAACTGATAGCAGTGGCGGTGGGAGGCTCCCCCCACCTGCCCGGACGCTTCTGCGCATGCACAGAAGTGTTGCGCATGCACAGAAGTGTTGCGCATGCACAGAAGTGTTGCGTGCACACACGAGCGAACCGGTAGCAACGGGTTTTGAAACCTGCCCCTGCATATATCATATTTTCATGCACATAAAAGTTCTAGACAGAGGGTGTACATTTCTTGAGTATTTGGCATGTGACAAATGTGATTAAAAATATTATTCCAAGGTTCCCAAATGTATTGCAATTTTTAATTTTTTAAAATTTTATTCAAAATATTGAAATACAAACTCAAAAAAAGATACAAAAAACAAAGCTAAACAAGACTACACCAAAAAGTACATAAACAAACATACTAATTGTCCCCTGTAGTTGAATACTTATATATTTATTTCAAAGATAATTCCCCCCATCTTGTGAAGAAGGCATACAACTTTTAAATTACTACAATACTATTTACTCATTTAACCTGACATCTGTCTACTACATGAAAACATATCATAGTCAGCAGGTAAAAGTAACAGCTAAATTAAACATCTAAACCCTTTGTTTACAATCTATTTATTGTATTTCACTTGTAGAAAAGTCCACAACAGCTTCTGGTTTATCATAAGTCACAACAATAATTGTCTCTGGTCTGTCCAGGATCACATATCCTTGATTGAATTAATAAGGCTTTTTCTTAAATTATTAACAGGATCTTTTTTAAGAATTATATTGTATTTCCCCAAAGCAGAAGTCTTTGTTTTCTGTATTTCCATAGTATTTGTTGTCCAAAAACTTACAATTATAATATAAATTGTAAAATAAAATAAAAGTATAAATTATAAGAGAACATCTCTTAACATTTGTTCTCCATAGTGGTGGAGATAGCATCCAGGAATGTGTTATCCTTGTCTGTCCAGTTGAAGGACTGAGTCTGTCAAAGCTGTTAAGCTATGCCCTTGTTGCTAGGGCTTCCCAGCTTTTAACTCAGTCCTTCAGCCTGGATGGACGTGTCTTAGTTTTTTCTTGTAACTTTATTCCTGGATGCTTCTTCATTCCTAGAGTGAATTATTTCTGGAATTTCTTCTATTGGATGTTTATTCTGCTCATTTAACTTCATGAGTTTAACACCTGACTCCCATTCGAGTAGAGTCACTGTGGATTCCCAATGGGGGAGCTTCGGCTCTAGCTTTGGAAGAGTTTCCTGTGGTCAGGCTAGTCACTCAGCCAAATCGCCTTCTGTTGAGCTGCAGGCGCTCCGGACATGCTGTGGAGTCTAGCGCTCCCATTGTGACAGAAGAGCTTCGCGCTCCTGCTTTGGGCAAGTCGGGTGGCCATTTCAAAACTCTTGCCACGCCGCCTGACATTTCAAAGGACTACTGGTGGAGTTTCACGCTCCCATCTGCCAGCCTGCATCTCTGGCAGTCACTCAATCATCCTCCCACATTAGGCAACGGCTGAGGGGATAAGCCTTGCCAGCACTAGCCATTTGCCTTGGCAGGAGCCTCGTGCTCTAGAGACTGCTGTGCCGGAGCCTCGTGCTCCGAAGATTAAAAAACGTGCTGCTGCTGACAGGAGCTTCACGCTCCAAACTTTAAAATTAATGGTTGGGCGAAGCAGAGAGGCTCGGAGCCCAATCTTATGGCTGTTACCGCCGCTGTCACCTTCTCCAGGAGCTTTGTGCTCCACTAACAACCACGTGGTCACTGACAGGAACCTTCCACTGGGACATAAAATTAGTGGCTGCGAACGGCGCATAGGGCTTGGAGCCCCTTTATTGCACTTGACCCTGCCATTTCAGGCACACTTAATCTAACATGAGATTTAAACTGTCACAGCCCTGATGCCCAAAGCCTTGCAAAAGACTAAAAAGGGCGGGAAAAGTGTGACAGCCAATATGGCTGATGCTGAGGCAGTTGGCAGTGGTCCTGGCTGGAACCCAGGCTGGAACCATTACTGATAAAGCCATGGCTCCCAAGTCTAAGACTCACAGCAAAGCTCCTAGCCATTCCCAGACCTCTAAAGCATCCCAAAGGGATGAAAGGTGCAGGGATCAGGTCCTACAGAAGCTCTGTGACAGGGCCAGTAAAGGAAAAAGCTCTGCTTCAGATAAAAACAGCAAAACCGGTGCATCTGACAGATTGCAATGCAGGGAATTGTCACCAGAGGGAGCTCCAGACTAATACTCTATCAGAAGCTTCCCTCTGACCACCTCCAGTGCAGAGCTATGGGGCTCTGCATCAGAATGGCCTAGATCATCACAAGGCATTGTAGATACAAGTCTGAGTTCCAGACAGATTCCTTCAGCCATGTTCACCCCCATGGCCGCAGACCTGCACCCAGAGTTAAACAAGGAACTTGCATTGCCTGATAATATACAGGACATTATTGCAACAGCCATCAGGGATGGCATTGCTCGGGGTTTACAACAGCCCAAACAGGCATATTCCGAGGTCTCTGGCTTTTCTACCACAGGCATAGAATCTGAACAGGAGGGCTTTCCTCCTTTTCAGGACCCTGGTTCCCTTGCTCCTTCTCATGAAACGTAGCCATCGATGTCTGAAGAAATAGAGCAAAGAGAGTTGGACCTGTCAGACGACAAAGATTTGCTATCTGAACAGCCCGCATTTACGGGGCTGTTTTCTCTGAATATTTTTAAATCCCTTCTTTTCAAGGCGACCAATGTGGCCCGCCTAGAGTTGTCATCTGAAGGGGCAGACACTCCAGCTGCCCAGGACTGTGCTTATCCACTTTTCTCAGAGCCTGGCAAAGTGACAGATTCCATCCCTTCTTCTCGCCTATTTGTGGATGTTGTCCAATGACAGTGGACGTCTCCAGGAAGACCCCCATGCCTTCCTCGACCGACAAATGCTTTTTTAATGTTGGTTCTGAATTGGCGAAGGTGCTCCAAACACCATTTATGGATGCACCTGTGGCTGCCTTGATGTCATCCTCCAATATACCTGGAGAACCAGAGGAGGGCCTCAGACCAGAGGTCAGGCGATCAGATCAGTCACTACAAAGGGCTCACCAAGGCAATCCGCTTAGCCACTACTGCATCCTTCTTTAACAGAGCCACTCTTATCTAGAACCGCCAAGTTCAAGAAAAGATCCCGGCATCAGATGTACGGATGCAGCAAGATGTCAACAAGATTGTGGCAGTGGTGCAGTTTTCAGCCTAAACTCAGCCCATTTTGTATCCAAAGCCATGACCTCTTCTGTGGCTGCCCAATGCCTCCTCTGGCTGAGGCATTGGCAGGCTGATGCTCACCACAAATGGCGCCTTGCCTCCACCTTCCTTTACAGGGGAAAAGTTATTTGGGGAGGCGCTGGAACTCTTGCTAGTAGAAACTAGGGGCAAGCGCAAGGTTCTGCCATCTTCCCAGTGCTGGGGAGAATTTCGTTCCTCTCCCTTCCCTTCGTCTGTCGCCCGCCCTTTCGGGGATCTGACCTGGGTGTGGG